TCCAAGGTCTGTGTGTATAACATAAATTCGGTATGCTCAATAAGTGTGAAAGTCTGTTCTGGTATGCAACAATATATCTGTGTTTTAAAATGAGCTTGAAAAAAATCTGAGTTCATTATTAGTATTGCGTGCGAAATAATATCTGTTATATGCTATGCAATGTAGATATGGTCATGGCAATACAATGATATTTGCTGCTGTATGCCTCTATAGTTTCCAAAACTAAAATTCAATGCTTAGCTAAATTGCTAAGCAGACTGGTAAATATCCAATTTTAGCAGCCTAGCATATGTTTATAATTTTTGTTTTAACATATGCTATGTTGGTTGAACTCCCCTCCCCACACATACGGTAGATAAAAGCTGTCACATCACAAAATGGTGGCAGCCCAACTTTTCTAACATTTTCCATGGCACTTCAGTCTTGCATTAATTAGCTATTCTTGGATAGGAGACAGACTCTCATCTTTGTAGAATTTTGGTTTCAAACCCGTCATGTACTTAGGTTTATGTATGCAGTAGCCCATCTGTGTTTCTGCAGCCATAAACAGTAAAAAGCGCAGGGCATACAAAAGAGCGGTCAGCGAGAGTGAGGATGCCCTTGGATCATGGATACGAGCACCTAGCAAGTGGCCCTGAAAGCAGCAGGCCCCTTTGGTTCACTGGTGGGCTCTACTGTGCTCGAACAAGAGTTCTCCCTCTCTTCCACTTTTCTAGGAGAGGTGGGTGAATAAAATGACGCTAGTGCACAGGCCTTTTTCTCTTCATTGTGAGCTGCTAAACTACCCCTCTTTTCTCCTGCTTTTTCAAGGCAGGTGTAAGGAGGAATTTCACTGAGTCTACAATTCTTTCCTAAACCTCAGTGGAGTACAGAGGACTTGTGACATACTGCTGCAGCTGTGATAATGCTGTCTTAATCCTTTCTGCACTGTGACATGGAAACCTGGATTTAGGCATGAAAGGACATGCCTTAGCAGTACAGCAATATGATCCCTTATAACATCAAACTGTCTTCTGAACGTGCTCCAAAATCACAATATTTTTTAGTATTCTGCCTGCTGTTTCCTTGCTGTTAAGCTTCTGACTGTGGGGTACTTCTGCATGTGTAATGTCTACTGTGCTGGTGCATGGGGATGGTTGGTTTTCTGGGGGTGGAATGAAGGACCCTTGTCCATCAACTGAGACTGCTGTAGATATGGCAGGGGGTGTGTGGTAGAGGACTCATATTGGTCTACGCACGGCACGGGGTTGTTCTGATGCCTTCATCCCTGGGTGGCATGAGTGCCACCTCCTGCCCTCTGGTCTACCTTGGAGCTGCTCAAAGGTTCATATGCATGTGCAGGCACGGTTCCAGATGTGTTGCCAAAACATAATGTCTGATATCATCCCTATCGGAGTTCCCAGTTCCTGCAGTTGTATCAGACATCTCACTATGGAGATTGAGGTACAGGGACAGGCCTGTGGAGCTTCAGAGGAGCTGCTGAAGCACCTGGGAATGTGGCAGTGGCAGCGTCAAGGTAAGGACCTGTGTAATAGGAGATGGTGGGCCTGGTGCTTGCACGTCCACCTGCAGTGCTTTGGGAAGCCCCACTGGGAGCTGCTGGCAGGGCAGCCTGCTTCTAAAACCCTGCGTGTGCTCCCAGCCATGAGTCAGAGCTGGTGTCAAGCCCAGATGCGTGACCGACTGGTAATACTGGTGGAGTGCTTTGCCATCTTTGGATCGTAGATGCCAGTGGTGGTTGTTCAATGTTTATTTCCCATTTATGTATTTGTTTTCAGCTACAGGACCTACAGCTGCTGTTTGGCTCGCTGTGGTTGTTAGCTGGTTGGCTGGCAGTCTTTGCCGTAGCATTCAGGTTTTGTCAGTGTGCACAGAAATCAGTTTTGTTTTACTGCCAAATGATATGTATGGTGGAAATGAAGGAAGAAAAGGATGAATTTAAACTGTGGGTTTTTTCAGATCTTTAGGTAGATGTCTACTAGAAATAACTGTCTACTCACTACAAGTGAACATAAGTAATTAGTGTGTCCTTAACATCAGTTACTTATTGCTAGCAGAAAGGTAAAGAGACTTCTTTATTTTCCAGTGTTGTGCTCTGCCCTGGTAAACATTTCTTTGATCTGAAGGTTTCTTGTGAGGTTGAAAGAGTGTAAACATGGCTTGTTCCTTCCTGCTCTGTGACTTGTCTCCCCAAATGTAAATTATCACTAGTTGAACAAAATCCAGTATGATTTTTCTGTCATGATCCTGGAAGTAGGATACATGAGTCTATGGTAGGAGATGGGAGCAGAGGAGTGTTGGTGAAGGACTTCAATGTTTCTGGTGCTCTTGTGTGATGCCATGTCGAAGACTCCTTTACTTCTTGTTTGCAGTACTTGGACATTGGATAACTAGCTTTTTTTTTTCTTACTGCTCACAGTAGATTTTGCTTTAGAGTAATAGTGCAGATAGTAATGCAATTTAACTATTTAAGGCAGAAGCATAACGTTAGGATTGAAACTTCAATACAAGTTCGTCTGTAGGCTTTTCTCCCATACAAGTTTATGAAGAGTATGTATCACTTGCTCAGAAAAAATAGCATTTCTGAACTATCAGAAACTGATAGCAGTGTTGCTCATTACAAATACTGAAAAATCATCAGGTAAGCCCTGAGATGTATACATTAGAGTCTCCCTTAAAAATCATGAGTCTTAAACAAAGTCCTCCTTCCCCCCAATAGTTATTGTTCATGTTCTAATTTCTTTTTCCATAAAGTTATAATCATGAGAAGAATTGTTTATGTGAAAGTTAAACTTCTCATATGGTTGTCTGATCCTTGGAGGGATGGTATTTAGGAAAGCAGCAAACATCACGAGACTCACGATAAAGTCACGAGAGTTTTTCATACATTACAGTTATGTATAAGTTTTGAATCGAATTTTTTAGAAAAATAAATGTATGGGCAGATGGTGATATTTACTTAAGGGGAGCTGAATTCATTATCTGGCTAGAACTGGGTATTTCAAGCAGCTGTTTGAGAACTCACTTCCCATGAAAGAGAACGTATGTTTGGGGAAAATGGATCCTCTTTTTGAAATGTAAGGCTATCCCTCGTTTAGTCTGTCAGAGGGGTTTCTGGTGTGTGTGTGTATTCATTTATGGAATAACCTTACCAGTAATGGCCAAGAACTAATTTGGTGAAATGGTTTTGCAAGCTCTTTAAAAAAAAAAAAAAAAAAAAGAGAGAAAATAAAAGCAGTCCTTCTTAAAAGTTTCAAAACCAGATAAAAGTTGTAGCTGCTCTTTTTTCTTGAGATATTCAACCAGAAAAAGGATTAAACCAAATATTTAGTAATCTTATGCTGCCCTGCCAAATTTAATTTCTGACTACCCAACTTACCTTTATTTTGATTTATTGAGATACAATTACTTCAGGAAACTGATAGAGAACAGCCAGGCCTAATCAGAAGAAAGGAAGCCAAATATGAACATACCCATTATCTTTTAGAGATTATTTTTGGGGACTCTATTCTAGAATGCATCTATTCATTTGTGTATATATTTTTGGAGCTTAAGAGTATGAAAAATAATCTTAGCTTATTTGTTCTTTTTTTACACTGCTTTCTCTTATGTTCCTGTGGAAAGCTAGCCAGATACTGTAATCCTAGTGCAAAGATGGAAAGCTATTGCTTGAAGACTGTGGTCTGTTTATTGTTTATGTCCTTTCTTCCCCCATTTCTTTAAGAAGACTTTCACAGGAAATTCTTTCACCCAGGAAACCTGTGGCTCTGGATTTCTTGGTTCATAGAGAAATACGAACCAGTTTGTTCCTTGGAGCAGATGCCTTTCCCTAGTTCCCCAGTCACTTAACTTCTAATGCCTCTGTTTTCATATTCCCTAATGAGCAAATTGTAATGCTTAATTATTTTACTGAAACCTAAGCTAGTATTTGTGAAGCCCAACTATAGATTTTCAAGTGATTTTACATCTCAGAATGGGCTTACACATTTGGAGTGACCGAAGGGCTTGTGATTCTCAAAACTCTGGTTTTAGAATTATCTCTTTGAACACTACAGAGTAATGCAGCAGTGTACACGTGAAGCACAAGGCCTGTTTGTAAACAGGGTGAATGTGTAAAGATGGCCCTTTGATAGGAAACGAGTTGTTCAGTTCAGACATCTTTCAGAATCTCATCACTTCATCTTCCTGATATTTAGGGGAGCCTCCTCGCTTGGTACAACGATGTAAGCTGTGAAAATAGCCATGCTGGGAACACATGGAAAAGGAGTTTTGTGCTCACCCCAAAACGCTAATGTTGGTTCTGACTCTGTGGTGCCTTATTGTGAATCTTGTGCAATATTCATATGTGAACTTAATATGCTGTTTATACATAAATATATGCCTTGTGGTCTGGCCATCTGTTTTTTCACAGTGGTTCAGTGGTTTGAGAGGTTAAACTGGTTTTGCTTGGCATGAAGTAAGAATTAGCAATGACTGCATAGTGTGTGCCACATACATCTGGTTAATGCAGAATGCCTTCTGTAGCTTCTGCTAATGGGGGGAGATGATACAACAATAAGTTAGTGCTTGGGGTTTTATTATAAGCAAGTCCCTGACTGCTGAAGGGCGTTGTTAAATTTGAGTTTCTCGTAAGTAGTATTCAGTTATTGCCTCCTGTTTTAACCAGATGAAAAATACTGTTTCAAAGAAGGCCTGATGTTTGTTCAGCTACAAAGAGTAGCAATATCTGGAATGGGGTTAAGGCCAGGTCTGGAGTCATTAATACTTATGCAGTGATGCAGAAGACTGATAATTGAATAAGATATCCTAGCTGAAATTTGATCACAAGGGTATTTTCCCTCCTCTGAAGTAAAAATAGTGGTTTATAATAGGAACTTTGTCATATTAATCAAGCAGACATTTGGATTTCACTTATCCCTGAGATACTGGCAATTTCTGCAGCAAGATTGCAGTTCCTAACTGAATTTGTTCTGGTTTTTTTTCTTTCACTAGATCATAACAGAGTTTGCAATGGCAATGCTCTGGAAATTCATGAGAGTGGCTAAGTATTCTAAAGCGGCTTTATCACCAAAAGTAAAGGTAAGAGGAATTCCTACCCATTCAAGGCATTCTTCATCCAAGTCTGTACCTTCAGATTTTGCTGCCAACACACCCTGCTCAAATACTGTGGAACTACTTGGTAGAGCTTATCCTCAAGATGAGTACAGCAATGTCACAGAGAAGATTCTTTCCAAGGTGGGGAAGAACTTACACAACAAAAAGCATCACCCTTTGTGGCTAATCAAGGAGCAGGTGAAGGACCACTTTTACAAACAATATATTGGACGCCGTGGGACTCCGCTCTTTTCTGTCTATGACGGTCTTTCTCCAGTAGTTACAGTACAGCAGAACTTTGATAGTTTGCTTATCCCGCAAAACCATGCTAGCAGAAGGAAAGAGGATAACTATTACTTGAATCGTGATCACATGCTAAGAGCACATACATCAGCTCATCAGTGGGACTTGATACACTCCGGCCTAGATGCCTTTCTGGCAGTGGGAGATGTCTACCGCCGTGATACAATTGATAACACCCACTACCCAGTCTTCCATCAGATGGAAGGAGTTCGGCTCTTCTCCTGTCATGAGGTAGGAATTCTCTAGTTGGGGTGAAAGAGATTTTTTGGGTAAGTTGCATGATCTTGTATTTGCTGTAAGCAAAGTGCATGCACGTAAACATGTTACAGCAACACATGTGTTATGCTGTACATTGATAAAGATCAAGTGATTGATTATGTAGTAATATTTTTAATTTGGGGAAGATATAGGTGGAAAATGTTGAATTTGAAAATGACTATAAATTTCCCCAGAAAAAATGTGGAAAAAATGGAAAGACAATATTGTTTGAAAGATAGCAAAATAAATTATCTGAGAGGAAGCAGCTTGTTCAGCTAACAGTCTGCACGATTCAATTCTAGTTGTGTCACAAGTATCTTCTGGTGATGTCACTTTACCAAAAACTTTGTCATATTGATACCTGAAGGACTCATGGATGTGAGATGTTGCAGCTACATTCAGAATGTAGTTTTTATCCTGTCATCTTTTTTGCTTTTAATAGCTCCAACCTTCTGTAAATAAATGTCATTTTAATTAATTGTTCCGTTCTTCATCTCATCCTAAAGCTGCATGGAAGGATTCATCTGTTGCAGCTGGTGGTTAGGTGTGTGTGATACACAGTAAACTCGTCAGGGTTCAGAGGCATCAGCTAAAGAGCTCTAGGTAGATGTCAAAGACGCTTGAGTTTATATATTTTGGTGGCACAGCTTGCATGTTCTGCAAATGCTTGGGTGTCATTAAGTATTCTGCTGTATCATTGATCAGTGGTAAATACAAGCCAGTTTGTTTTCCAAATAGTAATTGACTTGTATAATTTGTGTATGCTTGTAGCAATACTGCCAAATTCACATTTCTATAACTAAAACTAGCTTATTCTAATAATACTGAGATGTAGCTCATTCTTAATGTTGTTGCCAATGGGTGACAGGAGCTTGGCAGGGAAGCCTGATGGGTTTGGATGCCTGAGGGAAAACTAGGGTAATCATAGAGCACTGCTTTTCTCACTGGTGGAAAGGGTTCGTGCTGCCTGCACTGGTGTTTCCCACCCCATGCTGTCACTGCTTCTTCCACTTTGAAAACATACCTGTCTCTGCAGATGTCCTGTGAGCTGTGTGGTGTTGAACACAGCTTGCAACCGCTGCTTTGGTAACCAGGAGATGGAAATCTTGCAGATTTATCCAATCTTCTTTGCTGTTCTTTTCCCCAGGCCTATTTATGAATACAATCAGGGTATATGCAAGAGAAAAATGTACAATACTACATTAAGAAAATGTCATTTCCTTTCAAATAATATTCATGATTTTTTTTTTTCACTTGAGCATTCAGGCATTCAGATGGAAAGATTTTATCTGCCACAAAATTTTAACATCAACAGTCTTGCAGGATGGGATTTCTGTGAACATAGGTGTGATTGATCTAATTATTGAAATTATTGTTAATGAATATGCTCCTTAAGAAATTTTGATCTGAACCACAATTTCTTTCTTCTTTACAAATTTAATAATAGTAATGTGTTTTAATAAATAAGAAAGTTACAGAAATCTTCACTGACATCATCTATCTACAAATACATGATGTACAACAATCTGATTCACTGCATTGTAGATTGCTTGTTTCTTTTTTCTTTTTTCCCCCAAGAAAATGATTGCGATATTATTGGAGAATGTTAATAGCTAACTTCAAAATCATCAGCTATGTGCTGGAAAATATGTCTGTCTCTCTAAAGAATGAAAGTCCAGTTGACTTTCTATACTGATGGAGAAAGAATAGTGGTATGGTGTATGTGTAAAGTCTGGTTTATTGGGCAACATGCATAAATTCTAAACCTGAGCATGATCTAAGCATCCTTTTTTTGCTTCAGTTGCAGATTAAATACTGATAGTCTTGCAATATGAAAAACTTCTTACAGTCATCATCACAAGAACCTTGTGGAAAAAAATGAATGTGTAATTCTGAAATTTCACTGGGGACTGTTTGTGTTTTGTATTCTGGTTGCCTGTTCAAAATAACCCAAATTTAAATAATTCCAGAAAGAACTGTCTGAGCGGAACAAAGACTAAATGGAGGTAATACTACATGAAAGAAATATTATTTTTATATTCATTTATTTATACCCATGTTTAAGTTGTAACCCACTGAGCAGAAATGTGTGAATGTCAGGGCCTGTTACCTTCATCTCAGACTTTTCATTCATAACCAGACTGCAGTCTCTGGCGAGAGGAAATTTGCATGGTACTGAGGATAACAATCTTTGGAACTAAGGGAAAAGCTCTTAGTTCTTAGCTACGAGCACTGGGTGCATTTCATCTTATGGCCAATACACCAATTTTGCATGCTGTAGTCTACTGCTCTACTTTGTTATTTTGATTTGTACATTGTGGTCTTCAGTGAAAGTGACCACAGAACTGAGGGGGTGAGGACGAAACCCAAAACCTAGAGTGATTTTATAGGAACTTGAATTTAGAGGAATTTGACATCTCATTTCAGTTTGGGAGGAGGGGAAAAAAGGTCTGTTCATCCTCAGCTGAAACTTTAGGCAGGTTAAGTAAGACGTAGAAGATATAGAAAAGTGTCTCTCCTTTATAAATACCAAGTTCTGTAGTCAAGGCTAGGTTTAAACTTCTGCCCTGTGACTGAAACCTTTAGTACAATTCTTCATATCAAAGTTAAAATCAATACATTGGAAGTAAGAGCTGGAAAAACAAATCATATTTTGGCAATTTTGCCATGTTTTACTCCAAGATACTTGTAAGCTATTTGCTGGTTTGGCTATACTATTTTTCAGGAAGGTTGGTTGATTATTTTTGTAAGAGAAGTAAGCTGTGCTTCGAAGATGCGCAGGTAACTGATGCTTTTCAGCAGTGTGTTGGGTTTGCGTGGCAAGGTTTT